CTAGAGAGTAGCATAGATAAGCTAATTTAAACAGGAAATTCTTGCTCTGGAACTCCTGCTTGGGATGGCTGAGACTTTGTCAGACTGTGTTATTGTCTGAAGTTCTATATTAACAGTAATAAAGCCATTGCTATGAACTCAATGTTTTTTGAAGTTAGACAACAATTATCAAATTAGGCCCTGATTCTACTTAGTCAGTGAACTCAGAATACCTAGTAGGGATGTCTGAACATAACAAAAGGAAATATGAAGGAAAAATGGATTACATGTCATATAGATTTTTCCATTGGCTAAGGGGAGAGAGAAGGGACTCTGTCATTCTTTTTAAGTGGAAGTAATGCTTGTCTGTATCTCAGGAACTCCTTCAAAGAAAATGTCACTGACTAAAGGCTTTATATAAGGAATTTCTTAAAAAAAAAAAAAAAAAAGTATTTTCTCAAGAGAAAAATTCTTCAACATATAAATTGTAGTTTAAGTGATGAAATGGCAATGTAATCATCAGCATAGTTTGGTTATATCTGTTATTAACTGCTATTATTCCCTCTTTCCAGAAATAGTTGGGGACTATTTCTAAATTTTTGTTTTATATTATTACTATAAAGTGAAGGCACTGGACCAGATGATGATGATGATGATGATGATGATGATAACAGTAATTAACATTTATTGGAAATTTATTACTTTCTGGACATACAGCTAAGTTAAGAGGTTCAAGAGCAACAACAAGAATAGTTAACATCAATGCAAATAGTGCAGTAGTTTTTTGTGTAAGGTACTATTCAAACCATTTTACACACATAAACTGAGTAACTTATCCACCAACCCTATGTGGCAGGCACTAATAAACTGATCTTTTATGAATAAATAAACTGAAGTTCAGAGAGTTTAAGTTACTTTCCCTAAGACATAAGGTAGGTCAAGGAATCTAATTTCAAAGCTGTAGTGTTTGGCTCTGGATTAATATGTCTCACATTCAGTCTACTTCTTACAACCTTCACCTAAAAGATGAAAAAAATCAGAAATTAAAAACCCGTCCAGAATTTCAGCTACTGGTTTAAGGGCTCACAGAGCCATTTTGCTCTCAAGCCTGCTCTAACCGTTATGTTCTATTGCATCCCATACAATGACCTAAATCTGAAATGCTTTTTAGCTCTGTATTTCTTCCCATCTAAGTACTCATTATTTCTAGTAAGGCTCATATTTTCCTAGTAATTAGTGTCTTACAAAATGCTTTAGATGCAAAACATTAAGCTCTTAACTTTGATAAGGAGATCATCGATTTCAAACTTGAAATTCTGTTGAGAAAATCTGATCTCTGTAGAACTAGCAAGAAAAACAAGAGAACTGGACAGACTGTCAAAACTTCTGCAGTGTTTTAGGGGTCACTAATACACCTCTTTAGGTAAAATTCTTATGCATAATGATGCTTGTGGCAAATTTTACAAGTTTACAATATATCACAGAAACTCCAGCTATGGCCATGTTACACCTTGTGTGTAGATATCCCCCCAAAGTCGCATGCAGTCCTAGATGGGGTTTCTCAGAGGTGGCTAGATCTAGAGTGTGTGATGCTGGGACTGATTTACGATGCAATGGTAGAATTAAAGATATCCCACACCCTTATATTCTACCCACACCCTATTCTACCCTAAAGGTAGAATATAAAGGACAGAAAGAGGGCTGTTGTGGTTGCTTTGCTTCTTCTGTGTTTTGCTGCCGTCTGTCTGCCACGAACTGTTTCTCTTCAGTTATGCCCTTCTGCCATGCCATCCAGCCAATTATGAACTGAAGCCTCTAAAACTGGGAGCTACAATAAACCTTTCCTCCTTTAACTTTGGTTATCAGGTATTTTGTCTCAGCAATGAAAACAGTAACCAAGACAGGCCAGCTAACTGCAATTGCAATGTATTAAACCAATAGCAGTTAATAGTTTGGAGAGTAAGCTCAATAGTGCAATAACTGGAAAAAGTAAAATCAGTAACATTTGAACTCTTGCTAGTAGTTATTTTATCCTGATAAAAGAGAAAAATAGAACTTCTAGAACAAATATATGTAATGGTTTGTGTGTTTTTCAATCTCCTAATGAAGTTACCAATGGGCCTGTTTCCTAGAACACTAACATGCTTCTTCTGACTGCTAGAAAAAAGTTTGTAAGCAAAATACTACCCTAGGTGTATGTGTATGTGGGGAGGGGGAGAAGCTTACAGCTGAGACAAGCTAAGAAACTCCTACGTTCTGTTAAAATGGTTAAAATGTTCTGTTAAAATCTTCTAAGGAAGAACCATGTTCATTTCCAAAACACTGGTAAACCACTTTCTATTATATGGTCCCTACACGTCTCATATGACAAATATGTTCTCTTCTAGAGTGCAGATAAAGTAGTACATTGGTTTTTTAAGTTTTAGCTTTCTCTACAATGCAGCACTCTAACCTAACAAGCTTTCTGGCTGACACAGACACACTTCTCCTTCATTCACTCTGGCACAATAAAGCCATCTGAAAAGCTGCCCATCTCATAGTGTGTGGCCCCTTTCCACAACTTACCTCTTCATCCTTACTGTTTTCAACAGCAGAAGGTCTGTACATGTCCCCATCATTTCAGCAGTTTAACACCAAGACATGGACATTTCAGGGAGAACTGACTCCAAAAGAGTAAAGTCACTAATAAGCATGGACACTGAATCCAGGGAATGCAAGGCTATCAGTATGTGTAAACTTATTAATTTCTTCTAAGAAAAGGGTTTCCTTAGTCAAATCTTAAGGGCATCAGAGCAAACTGGACTCTTCCAGCCAACTGGACTGGAAAGGAGAATCTGGGCAGTGTCCTGGCAACTATTTAAGAAAGTAGTGCTCTATACAAAGAGGGAGAAAAGAATGCTTTAGAATTACTGTTAAAAACATTTTCTTTTACTTCCTTGCTCCTTTTTATTTTTAGGGGTAGTTTGAGAGTAATGTCAAAGCCCTAGGGATGTCATAGGTAGATATCCCAGGTACTGACTCTGAGAATTCAGAGTATTCTTCTACAGACGGAGCAAAAGGAGGTATAGTACAGACTAGAGTACAGATTTTTCTTAAACAGACTATGTATTTATAATTAGTTAGCATAAAAAAGACATTTGAAGCCCAAGTTAATAGCAGAGTGGTCAATCAATTTTCTAGTGCCAGTTTGATGTAAGTCATTATAAACCTTACCAGGACACTGTGAAGAGTAATTTATTAACAAAATCACAACTTGAGAAATTTGGTTACATGTCCTGAAAGTTCTCCCAAAAATGTATCCAAAGAAACTATAAAAGTGACTAATAACACACAAGAAAAAAAAATACAAACCCCACGATGTCAAAAGCACAGCAATACACACAAGAATCATGTGAAAAAAATCATGAAAAAACGGAAAGCACACTGAAGAATTTCATGAATTATACAGAAACAAGATGTGAGAGTGATTGTGTAAAAGGAAAAATGAAACAAAACAACAAAAATCATTTCTATAGTTAAAAGTAAAGCTGTTTCTCACCGTTCTGAACAAAATGGCTGAACTAAGAGCATCTGATTGGCTATGCCCATATACCCTCCTCCTCATCCTATGGGGAGAGATGACAAAGGGAACAGTGCCCCAGGGCAGCATGGGAATGAAAAAGAGTTGGTTAGTATTAAAACAAAGATATAAGCATAATGTATTAGAAAAGAATTTGACTCTTTATAGTAGATTCTAATTCCCTAAGTGACAAAAATTAGTTATTAGTTTATCATTACATTTTTTCTCTTCTCTTATTAGTTTATCATTACATATGTCGTCTCTATGCCAGATCTGGAAAAAATTACCAAACCGGGGCTTTTCTTTATGTTTTGCCTTTTTCTTTAACCTTTCTCCACTTATGTCTCCCTCTATGCTAATTCCCTCTATCTCGTATCAAAACTTATTTCATAGAAAGGATCCAGCATGCTTTTTACATGTGGTGACATAAATTTAATTCCAGGCACGTATTGGGAAACAGGCAAAGAAAGCAAAGTAATTTCTTGGCAGGGAATGACTACGGACACAAGGCAGACACTCTCTCTCCTTCACCTACATTAAAGATTGTGATGTTTCCTTTCTAAACTATGTTGTGTTCTTCTACTGGCTTAGGGATGTCATCATGCTGAGACTATTCCTTCTGCATCTTAGAAATATCAGCAATGTGGATATCACACCTACTTTCAACTACAGTATTTCTGCTGCTTCTCCTAAGACAATGCCATAGCTGTCATTTAGTGAGCTGCTGTTTAGCAGAGGTGTTTTCCCTGACTCTTTAGGTATATAGATTTAATTACTTGAGTCTCTTTTTTCCCTCTTAGTTATACATTTTAAGATAAGGTGTGATGGAGATGTTGAAACCTACTTTTTGGCAATGGAATATGAGATAATCTATTCACCACTCTTTCCCATCCAACACTTTCAAGATCATGAGAGAACTGTTTTCCTTCAAAAAAAACTGAAACTAAATATGGTTCCCTTTAGACTCATCTGCTGACTCTTTAGTACTGAGAAGTTGAAGGCAACAATTTCCCTGAGAATGACATGTTGAAGAAATCAACTAGAAATGGAATAAAGAAACTAAGTTTCAACCATCACTTTTAGTAGGTGATGAGCAAGGATTTCACAATTTGCAATTAAACAGAAGCAGCCCCTATACTGAATTATACCTCAATGAGTTTGCAAGGAGTCTTGTTTTTCTAATAAGGCATCACTTCTGTAGCAAAAAAAAACAGGACTGATTTTATTTTTCCTCAATCCAGGTCAAGGATTTTTTGTCACTCTCAAAATTTTTAACTATCTTTTAAAAAATATTCAGAATCACTAATTTCCTATCCAAAAATTGAGTTTGTTTTTAAAAAAGTATAGTTTTTGAGAAACTTAGTTACTTACTTTTCTTCTAAATTATTGGAATTCGCAAAATGTTAACATAAAATACTTTAAAAGTTAAAACAAGACAGAAAACAGCCAGAAGCAGCCTTACCTGATCTGGGGAGGGTTTATGATTCGTCTGATTGGAATGGGAGGATTTGAAGTGGTCGTCCTCATAGTTGTCTGCCATTAGCTTCATTCGATTTTGTGTCTAAAAGGGAAGTGATTCATAAAGTTAAATTTAGATAAAATTCGTATGACACACTATAAAGCGACAAGCACCTTAAGAATTTTATAAGAGTAAAACTAATCCTGTTTGCAATAATCTCAAATAAACATAGCTGAAAAGAGCTTAGGCACTGCTGTGGACTGAACTGTAACACCCAGATTCATATATTGAAACCCTACCTCAGTGTCACTGTATCTTGAGACAGGGTCTTCAAAGGTACAATAAAATAAAGGTTAAATAAAGTCATAAGGGTGTAAGGCCCTATGCCAACACAACTGTACTCCTATAAACAGAGCAAGAAAGAGCTGTTTTTCTGTCATCTGAAGACACAGAGAGAAAAGGAAGTCTTTACAAGCCATAAAGACAGCCCTTATCAGAAACTTAATCAGCTAGGACCTCTCATCCTCCAGAGAAATTTCCACTGGGTAAGTTACCCCCCAGTCTATGGCATTTTGTTATGGCAGCCTGAACTAAGATTATATTGGTACAGGAATTTTTTCAAGAGAAGTAATATCCTCAAATTGAGCAACTTTCCACAGGGCTTATTTTTATATTTTAAAATACTGGACTATATTACATATAAGACTCTATTATTTTATTTTTTTCACTTTATGATATACAGGACTCATCACTGGTGAATTCCTACCATCTTGTTTAGTGAAACTCTGTAATGCTTCTAATGGGTTTTTTTTGCTTTTATCTTTTATTCTCTTTAATAGTATGATCAATCTTGCATTCTTATATCTGGTGTTCTGAGCAACTTCGTTGAAGACAACAATATGTAATATAACAGCCACTGTTAATTCCTATCATTTTGTTCTGAAACCCTGTATCATTTCTATTGTTTTCACTGTGTCTATGTTGTTGGTATTTTGCTATTGTTCTTTTTTTATTATTCTATTTAAAATAAAAAAAAGTTTAAAAAAATGTGACTTCTAAAAATATCAGTGATAACCATTGTTAATAGTTATATCCATTCAGTCTCCTCCCTATGAACATATAAAATGGACATGTTCTTCTGATGTTATTTTTTTCTACTATACTAAGGTACTTTAAAAATTACTGTGTCTCATGCTGTATCTTGAAATCTCGCAGGATATGCTGTCCTTTCTTTCCAATGCTGGTTTGTCAAAATTTGATTATCTTGAACACGTTTTCTTTTCTAGATGAACTAAAAATATTTGGTCTAGCTTCATAAAGAAGTTTACAGAGATATGCAATGATGCCTAAGGAGGGGGTTCAGATCAAATTGTCTTGGTTTGAAAACTAGCTCTGCCTCTTACAAGCTATCTAACCTAGGGCAAGTTACTTAAATGCTATCAGCTTGTTTCCTCACTTTAAAAATTGGAGTAACAGTAATTTTTCCCCTGTAAGGCATTTTCCCCTTGCTCATGCTGTGAGGAATAACACAAAGAGATGAGTTTAACACAAAGAAATCACTTAGGAAGATGCCTGGCATCTCATAAATTTTAGCTATCATTAGAATTATAAACATCTTTATATCATTAAATATTATTCTAAAATCTATTTTTTTTCCTGGCTGCATAGCTCTTGTTGAATGATTGTTTGAGTCCCACATTGTTGGCCATTTGAATATTTATTTTTACTTACCTATCTGTCTGTCTAATTTTTAAACTAGCTTCTCCCTCATGTAATGGTAGCAAAGACAATACATATGAATAAGTTCTGATACCAAATTTTTCTTTTCTGGAATGCCCTCCAGACTTTTACTATGGTCTGAACGTTTGTGTTCCCTTGAAATTCATACATAACTAATTAATTAATTTTTTGGTTTTTTTGAGACAGAGTCTCGCTGTATATTCTAGGCTGGCCTTGAACTTACTATGTGTTCCAGGCTGGCCTTGAACTTCCGGTGATCCTCCTGCCTCAGCCTTTCGAATGCTGAGATTACAGGTGTGCATTACCACGCCTGCAGAAATTAATATATTGAAATCTAACCCCAACTGGGATGGCAGTAAGAGGTGTGGATTTTGAGATGATCAGGTCACAGATTAATATCGATGTAAAAAAAAGCCTGAGGAACTTGTTCATCCCTTCTACCATGCAAGGATTCAGTGGGCAGATAATGAGTTATTTTAGACACTAAATCTGCTGAGGTCTTCATTTTGGCTTTTCAGTTACAGAACTGTGTGCAATAACTGTGTGTAATATTGTTTACAAATCACCCAACCTAAGATCCTTAGTTATAGTAGCCTAAATGAACTAAGACAATGGAGGATGTTTCGCAAAGCAGCTCCCAGAATAGGGGAAAGGACAGAGGTACATCCAGAAAGTGAACAAAACATCTTCATGTCATTCATTTGGTTAAGAAACCTTTCCAAATTGCTTTAATTAGAACCTGGTCAAAAGTATACATGGCTAGTTATTTTCTTAGAACATGAGTCATAAATCTTTAATCTTTGACATGTAGCATAAGTTTAAGATCTTAAAAAGAAATCCTAATAAAGCATACACAAATCCATTTTCAAGGCAGAAAGTATTTCAAGTACTTCTTAGGAATGAGCATGTAAGCCCAAAGAAACTGATCCTAGTAGAAAGATAAGACTATAGATTATTTACTTGATCCCTATAAGCAAATGAAGAGATAGTCAGACCATACTTGTCCATTTTAAGAGACATGTGGATAATCAAAGTTCAAGGTTTCTAGATTTAGTATTCACAAATTTGGTCTAAAGTCTGCTCCTTGAATAGTCATAAGATTGATCAGGAAACATCTGACAGCTCACAGAGCATGAGATGCTACACAGATCGTGTAAATGACTCTGCTCTGAAGGAGCTCTTACACTATGTTTTCTTAGATAAGAGCAAAAAGCAAAAGGAACAAGTTCTTCATGTTTCATGGACATGAAAGGTACTTTATATTCAAATGTCTTCCTTCTTGAACCATGCCATAGACAGTTAAAAACCTCCAGTCACAAAGAAATGACACAAAGAATAAGACTGCCTGGAGGAAGGGAAGGAAGAAAGTTGCTGAAACAAAACTTCTTTAGCTATAGATGTGCGTCTGTGTATTCCGGTACATATGTCTTCTCCCAGGAAAAGTTCACTGTTTATACTGTTAATCTTTTCTTCTAGGATCAAAATGTTGATGCATAAATAAGGTGCTACAGAAACTACATTTTATTTAAAATGTAAGTGAGTTAAGCCAAGAAACAAGTTAGTTACATAAACCCAGGTTTTAAAAGAAAAGGTCTGGATTCTAATCACACTTACATTCTCATTATTGGGAAAACTATGGAATGACAGGCTAAAACAATTGTTAATCTGTCAGTAAAGACCTTAAATGGACATGAGATTAAACTGCTGTTAAAATTACTATCTTTCTAAAAACCAGGAAAATAATATAGTTGGATAGTCTCCCTATCAATAGTAAGTTGTTCTTTGAAACTGTTCTTTTCCTTTACCTTGTTTCTTTTCACCACAGTCACAATATTATAATGAGACACGCAGAGCAGAGCATGTCAAACGTGTCACCAGCCAGAGAGCACTGTGAGCTCTCTTCTAGTCTGTTCATCATTCTAGCTATGAGTCTCCTAATATTTTATATCTTCATGAACACAATCATTATTCACTGAGCTGCTCAATCAAAAACATCAGAATCAGCTGCGTGTGGTGTTACACACATACAGTTCCACTATTTGAGAGACTGAGGAGGGAGGGTTGCAAGTTTGAGACCAGTGTGAGCTACTTAGTGAGATTTTGTCTCAAAATAAAAAGGGCCAGTGGTAGAGCTTAGTGGCGGAGAGCTTGTCTAAGATGCTCCTCCCCTTCCCTCTGTTCTTCTTTGAAGAAGAGTGAACCAAGGGCCCATTCACTGAGCTACATTTCCACCCCTTCTTTAGTTTCTGAGACAGGGTCTTACTAGGTTGCCCAGACCTGCCTCAAACTTGTGATCCTCTTGCCTCAGCCTTCTGAGCCATTGGGATTATGGGTGTGTGTAACTATGCCTGGAATTTTTTCTTAATATAGAGAGAACACCCTATTTTGTCCTCATTCTGAATCTAAATAATAAGCATTTTCCAAATTTTTGAGATAATTCTACTTAGTAATATTATATTTTTATACATTGCTGAATTCGCTAATATATTGTTTAGAATATCTGTGCTTAATTTCTTTTTTGTTTGTTTTTTTCCAGTACCGGGAATCGAACTCACGGCCTTGCAGGTGATGTGCCGCTGAGTTAAATCCCTAGCCCCTGTGCTTAATTTCATAGGTAATATTTTCCTACAAAGTTTTAGTATTGTATTTAGTTTTACTATCGAAGTTATGGTAACCTCTGTGCCGCTGAGTTAAATCCCTAGACCCTGTGCTTTATTTCATAGGTAATATTTTCCTACAAAGTTTTAGTATTGTATCTAGTTTTACTACTGAAGTTATGGTAACCTCATGAAATAAATCAGGGAATTTGCTCTTTATTGTATTTTCCAGAAAATACAATAAAAATTATTGTTATAGTAAGAATTATTGTTTGATATTTGGTGGAACTTACCTCTAAAAGCAACTAGGCTTTGTATTTGTTGACAGATATTAAACTTACTTAATTTGTTGGTTTCAAAGGTCAGGTTTGATAAATTAGTTTGGCATAAAGGTCTTCATCGTATTTTTCTACGGTTTTTAAAAGTCTCTTTAAGAGGTTTATCTGCCTCACAGTTACAGTCCATGGTAGGCTGGCTCCAAGGTAGAAATGGCATGGCAGGAGAGAGGGACACTGCTCATGTTATGATAGCCAGAGAGAAGTGTGGAACCAGGGAAGGAGATAGACCCCTTCCAGATCACGTCCCCATTGACCTGCCTTTTCTGATCAAATCCCACTTCCTAACAGAAAGTCAACTATGGCATCCCCATAATTCAATCACTTTCTAAAAGACTCACCTTTGAGTGCATGAGACAGTCTCAATCTAAACCATAACAATCTTATTTGAGTGGCTGCATCAGAATTAGTCCAGGTTCTCAGACTTACT